CTCAAGACTTGAGTACTTTATAGTATCTCCTGATTTTTATAAATTGTTACTATTTCAATTATCCTTTAAGTGACTTTTATGCCTAGAACATCTCCATTCTCTTTCTTTTGCGTGTAATCGTGTTACCTAATTAAATTTAAAAAATCGTTACAGACATAATGAGCTCAAAACATGTGAACATGATTATTCTATATTATATTAATAAAATAGCATAAAGAAGTGAAATTGAAGTTGATTTTAACAGAATACTTTCTCTAGCACAAGAAAATAACGCCAGGTTAGTTGTAGGGGTGGCAATCTAGTCGTTGCCACCCAGTGGGTCAGTGGTAAGTTTACAGAGTTACAACGCTAAAATCAAGAGTGGGCAAAGCGCAGAAAGCCGATTGGGTGGCTTTGTGCTGAAATGAACAAAAAGACGATATCGGAAATCTTGCCAAAATTTTAAAACTATATGATGAACATTTCAGATTTCATACCAAAAACTTAAGAAAGGCTAAGAGAGAGAGAGATTCTATGATAATACATTTCAGATAACTATAATGAGATATAGATAATGAATTTTCGAGCTAGGCTACATAAATGGCTCTATGTGCATAGCCGTCCCTAATTTTGAACTTGCAGACTAGAGGGGATTAAGGAAGCTAGTGAACAACATCTACAGAAAAATAATGGGCTACTCTAACAACGAATTTTTGCAGTAGTGAGATGCGAACCACGAATTCATGGATTCACACTGTGGACACGGTAATCTTTAGGTCATACTCGGTCCACATTTAAAAGGGATAACCCAAAATATAATGAGTTAATTTTGAACCATCCTCCACCAATCAAGTTCAGAAGCAGGGTGTTCAGAAACATGATAATATCTATAATAACATAGTTTTAAATTTCTTACAACTGTGGTCGATCTTTGCTTATACGTTTAAAACAACGGAGTGAGTAAATAGAATCAATTATTTTTTTTACGATAATAATGTATTTATAATAAACATCATTATTTATACCTAAAGGATACTAATTTCCGATTAAAGTATAGAGAAACAGTTAATCTAAATGAAACTTCTTTGATTCTATAGAAGCCAGTTGTATTAGGTACAAGTTTCGTGCACTGTGCTTCATTGCATGTTGTATAAGCCTATTGGTACATAGAATACTGTTTAAAGTCACAAGGTGTTTGGTTTTTCCTACATGTTTTAAGTCTTGTTATTTATTATTAATTTCTTTAATATTTTAAATCTAAATATTCATAAGTTTGGCATTTGTTGTCTAATTTCAAATGTCAGAAAGTTTTACAGCCCTTAATGGAAGTTGAATGGGCAATTATAACCGAATATAAGCCTACTCACGTTTCACTTAGCCTTGGACTATGAACCTGTCGTAACTACAATGATGTTTGTATATAAAGTGATAAAAGTCAGTTATAATGATAATATTACAAACAGTATTCCTTATCATAAACAAGAAACCCTACACGTCAGATAAAATTATTGTAATCAGTTGAAATTTAAGGATAGAAAAGTTAAAATGTGCAAAACAAAGCACATTAAAATACTAATCTCTCTGTACAATGTTAGTTTAAATTTTTTTCTGATTTTATCAGTTTTGTTTTCGTCAGTAATTAAATCATTTGTGTTTCTTTGTGAGACATTAAATGCCTAGGCGTTTAATTTACTAAGAATAGAAACTTGAAAGGAATAACAAAACGATCAAATACTTGAACTACCGCTTTCTATTTTAATTTCTGAAGAGTCTATTGTTTTCTTGATATACGGCTTATATTTATTATTATTAATGTTTTCTAGTTTTTCAGACGTGATCTAAGATCGTATTCAGTAGAAATAATCTAAAAAAAGGATCGTGTCAAAAACGTTTCCTGTGCAAATAGCAATAATCATAATAAATTAATGGTGTTTTCAACCTTTATAATTTTTGTAAACGATTTAGCACAAATAATGTATTGTTTAAATCCATATTCATGCTATATTTGCTTTTGTAGATGCCTTGGAGCCTAGTGATGTTGATCTATGCATTTCCAAACGTTCTAAAGTCTCAAAACTCCATTTTCGTTTAGTTTTCTGCACCTATAACAATGATCAAAATCAGTTCTATAATCGGAATATGTCTCGTCTCCCGGTGGGACACCGGTAAGTTTACGGGGTTACAACACCAAAATTCAGAGTTCGATTCCCCGTGATGGATATAGCAGATAGCCCAATCTGGCTTTGCTCTAAAACAAAGAAACCAAGCCTTTAGTCTTAATATGTCAAGTTATGACAACATTATGCAGACTTGTTCTGATGAGGCATCGCACGATAGGGACTAATAATTTTACTGGGGAAGTCACATCAGAATAGATGAAAATACAAATTTTGAAATTTAAATAAAAGTTATTTAAGGAAAACTCACGAAAAATAAAAATATATATAAAATAATTTATTATCTGAAACTCAACTGTTGTAAGTCCGTAGACTTACCGCTGACCCATCAGCTATATAGATAGAATAATGTTGTCTGCTATGTTTTAGCTATCTATCCCACTGAACTTCCCGCACTTTCGTTTTGATGCTTTAAGAACGAGTGGGGGAATCTATGTTTGCTGGGCAACATTACTTGAAATCCTTTGTTTTGACTTGGGCTGATAACATAAAATTAGTTCCACTTTTAAGTATTCTTAGTATTATTACAAAGTCACCAATTCAACTATTTCCGTAGTCGTTTTCCAAGTCACTCAATGTGAGCTGATGCGAATATAAAATCAATTTGTTTGATTTTCGTTAGTAAACAAATCTTTAAGATATCATAAATGTCAAGGCCAAAAGTTTATATTTAGCTTTGTAAATGCAATAATTTGTTTGATTTTCAATTAATTTCCTCCTGTTCTATTTCACCACCACATAACCTTGATGTTACTCAATTTTGTTGGTTTTAAATATATTATAAGCTAGTTTGGCGTGGCCACGGACTGTGAATATGGAGTTCGTATCTCGTGTTCTCTTTGAGAAAAATGAGCTCCGCACTTTCGGACCGTGGGTACGCTTTAAGAGTCAACGTCAAATCCCACTATTCGTTCATATAAGTGTAGCTCCAGAGTTAGCGGTAGGTGTTATTGACTAGTTGAGTTTCATGTAGTCCATCAATTCAAAAGTAGTAACATAATGGCTATGCGCAGATAGCCCTAAGCTATTAATAAACTATTATAAGATACCAACATCCCTACAAATTTTCTTTACTTTTATCGTGATGTTTTTATTTCCCATCTCTTAATACAAATTAGCTTATACAACATACCAGACAAGGTCAATGTTTCGAGTAACTTATACAACATATCAGACAAGGTCAATGTTTCGAGTAACTTATACAACATGTCAGACAAGGTCAATGTTTCGAGTAACATGGAATAACTGCTCTTTACATACTGAGAAAAATGTTGATATTCACAAGCTAATAAAAACATTGACATTGCTTACTGTCTTAACGATTTCTAGATTATTGATCTGCTGAGTTTAAATTGTTTTTAGGATGTTTTACTTTCGAATATATAGGTAGGGCAGGAGGAAACTGAGATAAAATAAAACAAATTATTACATCTATTACGCTAAATATAAATACTTGGCCTTAACACTCGTTGTATTTTAAAGACTTGTATACTGACAAAAATCCAACAGATGGATTTTATATTCGAATCAGTTCACTTTGAGTGACTCAGAAAAGTACTTACATTATTTTTCGCTCTTTGAACATATCATATACGATGTACGAAAAAGGGGATTGAGTTTGTTTCTAAAATAATTTAATGCCTATTTTTCTTATTATAACCTAAATATGATGATTTATTATTTTTCAAGTATAATATCTTTTATAAAAGTAAAGGTGTTATCATTCATCTCAAATTATTGGTGAAAAAAAGGGGAAAACGAGACTACTGTTCGTTTGTTATTTGAATTAAATGGTCAGCTTCTCCTTTTAGCAGCTCTTAAGTTAAAGAAAATATAAACATGAGAAACCGTGGCTCCTCCTGGGTGGGCTGTATTAATGAGTTGTCAGAGGTTTATAAATAGGGCCAAACATCTAGCGTTTGCTGATTGGACACAGCTGGCGGTTGTCATAGCGACAACTATGTTTAAGTGATGGGTGTGTGTGGAGGGCCTACACGGATAATATACTTTCTTGACATCATGTTGGTTCGATGTTGTTCTATAGACTAATCGAAAAATTAACAGTGGCTCATAAACAAAGCAAACGAAGTTACATTAAACAAAGTTTGTGAGTTGTTGTTTATCTGCTACAAGAAGATATAGAGAGGCTAGGATCTGTCACGTATTTAAGAAGTAGTTCTACTAGTTATGCGAGATAATTTTCGAGTCTCAGAAGCAGTGTAGACGACTAAAAGCAGCTCTGCGCTTGCTTATGCTTCTCGATTGTTTGTCCAACCACGGCTGATCAGGTGATCTCGAAGAATCTAATCAGCGGAGCCCGAAAGGATGTTTTTGTAACAAATCGTGTGTGAGAATGGAAACAGCGAATCGGTGTGAAAACCAGATGGTGCTTTAGTTATTTCACTCACGGCTCTGGTGAAACCGAAAATTCATGTAGAGAATATTATATTTTTTATTTTTCCAGCAGCTCGTGGAGGAAGGCGAATAATTTCACAGTTAACGCTTACAAACGTTTAGTCTACCAAACTGGTTAAACACTGCACTTGTTCATTCCGACGCCACATCTGGAACAAATACAACTTGTGTATTTTTTGTTTCGCTTTTCTTTTAAACGTGGATGACTACAGCCAGATCGAAGCACGAGCTCTGTATCTAGTAGCGAATAGTAGTCCTGTCGGTGAAAGTTGCAACTGATAACTGTTCGAATATCACCTCTGGCACAGCTAAAATCTGAACCAGTGACTGCCGTAATACGGTCTATGTTTTAATTCTGCCCTGACGTCATGTAAGTGAAAATGTGAAAATTAAATACTTTTAAAATCTCTAGAAGCTTTGCAATACTAAAAATATCTGTTTTTAATAATATATATATTTAATAGTTGTGACTTCATTTTATCTCATATACACAATATGTTATCAATGAACAATTATTTCTATCCTATCGGTGATCCTCGAGCTCCCCTTTATTCACCGTCAGTGCTCTACTCTTCGGCCCCGACAACTTCAGTCAATTCTGGCGCTCTCAGCCCCATCTCTCCCTGTTCTTCCATGAACCGAATAGTTCGTACTCATAGTTCTGATTGTCATTCACAGTCGCCACCTCAGAAACCACCCTACTCCTACATCGCTCTCATAGCAATGGCTATACGGAGTGCTCCGGAACAGAAGATAAGTCTTAATGATATCTACAGATTTATTATGGACAGATTTCCTTATTACCATGACAACAAGCAAGGATGGCAAAACAGTATCCGACACAACTTGAGTCTCAACGAATGTTTCGTCAAAATACCGCGAGAAAAAGGCAAACCTGGAAAGGGAAACTACTGGACCCTTGACCCTGCCTACGAGGAAATGTTTGAGAATGGAAACTTCCGAAGAAGGAAGCGAAGAATAAAAAATCCATATAAACATAATATCGGTTGTTCAAAAAAAGAGGGAACTTTAGTTAACGACGTGAAAATCTTTAATTCGCAGAGTAAAATACTGAAAGACCAACCATGCGAGGAAGTTCAGAAATTAGAGCCAATCGGAGAGAGGAAGTCCGTTCAAAAAGATGCAGACATTGTGATGTTAGGCGATAAATTAGGTAAAGAGGGTTTAGACAAAGAATCTCGCGACGTTCCTCTAGATAAGCTTGATAACAATGATTATAATGCAACTAAAACAAGCGAGCCTAAATCCAATGAGATTCTTAATAAAAATCTCGATTTCACCGAAAAAACAAAGAAAAGCTCTTTCACCATTGACAGCATTATGGGTAAAGAAACTTTCAACCCAGAAAAAACAACAGAAGAAGATTGTACCCAATCTGGTTCTCTTACTCACATCTCTGAAAACTTTCCGATAAATATTGGTGACTCTTCATTGACTAAGTTCAGCTTTAAGGAACCAGTTTTCCAAACAATCCCTTCTAGACCAGCTCTTGAGTCAAGCTCGAAATATCTTTCACATAGATCTTCACTCTCATGTCAACAAGTTGATTATTCCACAATTCCTTTATTTTCGTCCTTCCAAAAAAATCTCAGTAGTCCAGCCCTACGAGAACTTCTATTGTACCCATTTACAAAAGAAACCGCATTTCCTCTAACCTGGGGATTTTCGATCCCCAGAAATGTTAAGAAACTCCCTTCGCTCCCTTTACCGATACGGTGTCCAACCTTTCCTTCTACAGCGTCAACTTCCTATAGGTGCAACGGTGGATCAGATCGACAAACTGCGTTAGCAACGGAAGAGATACTGTTCAGGTGACGACAGTACCGGCTCTAGCTAAATGTTGTAATGAATTAAAGTAATCCTATACATATGTAAGTTTCACAGCTAAGTTTAATGTGATTGTCACAAAATTACAATAACTCATAGCGCTAAGCATACTTAGTTTTGTATGTAAACCAAGATGTGATTTTAATGTGTAAGGATTCGTGTTATCTTCCATAATAACATAATACTAGGCTAAAGGTTTTTTCTGAGGCTAATTTCGTTAGTGAGGTTACTTGGACTGCTTTTGACTTTTGAAGCATTGTGTTATAATATGATATTAAGTATGAACGTGGCAAATAATAAGATTCATATTTATTATATAAATTTTAATAGTTGGATAAGTTGAAAAGTAATCTTACGTATATTACGATGTCTGTTATCTGTTTAAACCTTTAAAATAAAGATAAGTTTGCAAGAGTCATTGAATAAACTACATTTAACCTTTCATTAATGGTAAGTTATTCTAAAAACTGTTTTGTTTAAATTAAATTAATTAAATGTTCACTCTCATTAGAAAGTGGTTAGCTTGTTTATATATATTTATAACATTAGATGCAGGGAGTGGAAAAAATAATGGAAACACCTGTAAATTACTACATTTTATTTATTAATATGGCGTTCGTCCTTCATGAGCAGACAATAAAGCATGAACACTATGTGGAATTCAAGAAACAAGGTGGCCTAACTCCTACTCGTGTTATTTGAGCAAATCTTAACAACTTATATGGTCCTTTTTCTTACAGAAACAGAGCATCTCCATTTGAGAATAACTGTATACCATAGGACAAAACTGGTCTGCATTCAGGTATAAGTAACAATTTGCTGTCAGTGACAACATAGGCTCTAAATTACTCCAACAGCAACAAAAACAAAACTTCCCATACCATCATACACCCCCCCCCCATCTTAACATATGGCACAAGACATTTTAAAGGTGCTTTTGATTTGCTTCAAACGTAAACACGCCCCTTTTTTCTTTTCTTTTTTTTGAAAAGTATGAAAGATTATTCATCTGATCAAACCGATTTATTCCATTGATTTTTGATCCAATTTCTAATAAATTCACACCAACTTACTCAGGCTTTTGCATTTTTGGTGTTGTTAAAAATTTCTGAATGGTAAAGCAAGCAGAAATAACCCACCTTGCGCAGTTTCTTTCGAGATATTTTGACAGAGATTAGTTGTTTTAGGCTGATTTTAGATTCTGTACACACTCTTGACGCTGTAGTTTTTGTTTTAGTTTTACTACACGTGTTAATGCTCGTCTGTCACGATCCGCCAACTCAATTTTCGACCACTGTTATGTTTGTTTTTGATGTAGTTTTATTTTTCGATATCTATGCTGGCATTAGTTTTGACACTGTTCCTCTGGACTACTTCTTTAGTTAAGATCTTCGTGTCACTGAGAAAGCAGCTAGATGTTCACTTATAATTGTTGTTGTTGTTGAATTTTGCGTTAAGCTACTCGAAGATTATCTGCGCTAGCCGTCCCTAAATTAGAAGTGATAGACTAGTCACTAGAGGGAAGGCAGCTAGTCAACACCACTTACCGCCAATTCGAGAACTACCTTATTTGAATAGTTGGATTTGACCGTCACTCCTATAACGCATCCACTACCCTAAAGTAAAGATTATTTTGGTGCGGCGCAGGGCGCAAGCCTCGGATCCACATTTTTCAATCTAACCACTGGGCCGCACTCGATTCTCATCCACAATCATTCCTCTTTAAAAATCTGACCGAACGTTTTAGCTTGACATCTTTAGAAAGTTTCTAGGAAAAACAAAGCAATAGTGTACCATTCGTATACACACAAATTCAATGATAATGGTAATTTAATGTACAGTTACATTACAATACGACTACATTTTCTCCACCTAGAAATACCCAAACTTGAAGTTTGTAAGGTAAGGTGTTTCCATTATTTTGTCCAGCCCTGTATATTTGTAACTTGAAAGGTTTTGAGGATAAATTTGCCTTTGATTCCAAAAGTCGACTACGATTACAATAAATTGTCTATGTACAACTACAAAGCATTTATAACAATGTTCAATGATTTGTTGTTTTTTAAGCTATCATGCATTAGAGTATCTAAGCGAAGACCAGAGCCAATAATAAAGATTCTTAAAGACTGTACAAACAGCCAGTTTTGAGTTTGAGAAGAGTTTTATACAATAACATAATTCGATGCAACTTCAGTCTGAGCTATGCTAATTTGTCTGCACAAAATTTTCTCCCACTGCGATTTGTATCGCATGTTGTGGTTGATCCCCCAAAATAAGTGAAGCAATGCTCTAATCGGAATGCTCCATTCACAGTCAAGACAATATACAGTGTAGGAGCCCTATGAAAATACTATGTTCATTATAGACAACCAGAATTTTCACTTTTATCTTATTTGATTAGGGAGACAAAAACTACTATTTGTAAACTGTGCAATAAGTGATTTACAACTGCACATCAACTTATTAGAACCACACAGTATATGTGATGCATTTGCACACGAATATAGGTCCTGGCAAAAACAACAGAAGAAGTTTGAAAAAAAGAGGACATTCCTTAACACTGGACAATTCTCAGAAAAGAAAATACGATCATTTCAGTTGAGAGACAAATATTGTCTATGTAAAACTTTTTTCCAAAATGTTGATTCAAATTGAACGGATCAATGATACACATTGATAAATGTAATGCTAAGGGGATGATATTAGTCTTCATTAACGTTCTTACAAAAGCGAAGCAAATTCATTTTTAGATATTGTATTGCAAACTATAGTATGTGGTATTCTCAAGTAAATGGATTATATTTTAGAGCTTCACGGATAAACCCTATTAACGAGAGATTCGAACAAGATATGACATCACAGAACAATGCTGAATTAATACCGGCTGAGTTTAAGCTAAGGAATAACAATCAGACCGAACACAACTGTATTAAAACTTAAAAACACAGTGTGTGTGTGTGTGTGCTTGCTTACATTAGATAGTCACTTTCTTTCAGATGTTTCTAAGTCAGGATCATCCGTCAGACTAGCTAAATCAGAACGATACTTCGGAATTACCTAGAACGACTGCTCAACATGTGACTGTTCATTCTCTTTCCACATTGATGAGACACCTATCTCTAGATTTGACCTGTTTAAATAGAAGAGAACACTGTCCTCGACCACCTGAACGGGGTCAACAATGTCTCTGAAGGCAACATTGGAAGGAGACATAGAAACAAACGTATGTGTTGTTCATAACAACAAATCAATAGAAAAATAATAAGTAAGACTTCTAACGTTTAGTCATAATACTTAAATAAAAAATACACGTTAATTATTTAGTTACTGCCAATAATCACCTAAGTCTATTCAGACACGAACGAATATGATGAAATTCTACGGCTTATTTTGATGTTAATAAATATTCCTACTCTGTGGCTAAAGACTATATATATAATTTCATTTTTTGAAAATTTCGTATCACTAGAATGAGATTATGTTTTTGTAGCTTTTTGGCTATGAGTTAGATTCATTTATATGGTTCAACTTTATTACATTAGTACCAAAACTCACCTTTAGAAAATATATTTCGATAGACATATACAAACGTATGCATTCGTTTAATAATGCGAAATAAAGTCCACTGGTACACATTCAGATTGTATTTGTTTTCGTGGCTGATTTCTGTATTTTGCCATCTGAAATGCAAATTCACCATATTCTCCTTTTTTTTTAAACCAGAATTTCCTTTGTGTGAGTTAATTCATCTAGGGCTCAGAACGTAGTTTTCATGGAAACCCACTTGATAGTAAAAAAGTTAAATTTCACTAAAACCATTAGAAAGCTTATAAGTAAAATTCAGACATCTATCGTGCATGCTCTCCAGTCACTCAGCGGTAAACCTGAAGACTTACAACACAAAAACTAGGCTTCGATAACCGTAATGGGCACAGCACAGATGATCTATTATGTAGCTTCGTGATTAATAACAAACAAAATATTGTGAATGACTACTATCATTGATGCTTAAAGTCACATGCTAGGCACTATTTTCCTTGTCAGCCTCCACTCAGCCTCCACCTACCTAAACTTTGGTTCTGTATGACAACTTATTTTTGTATTGATAACACGGATGTTGACTTAAATTAATCAAAATGACACTTATTTATTCCTTCATGACAACATAATTAGACCAGTCCTATCGAAAAATATCAAAGAGGTTTTCGAAGCATACCTTTTGTAATAACATCATAAATCGAGGATAATTTTTAGAACTTATCCTCATTGTTAAACTATGTATGAGGCCTGTTTTTGTTAAATAACATATTACTGCTTAATAATATTGTTCATTTGGCAATGATGTATACTGTATAATATTATTACAGTGTTAAATCATCTCATAGAATAAGGTGAGAAGACTTCTTTTCTGAGAGAGTTAACCTTCTCAGGAAAACGGAAAAATACATTATTAGAAGGTGTGTTTTATAATGCGTTATACTTAAGAGAATTATACCTTTGAGAAACATAACATGTATAAAACGACTAAAAGATCCACGTGTACTAGAAATCTTGTTTTTTTTTATGAAGATTACATCTTCGTTCTCTAGTTACTGATGTAATCTGTGGTAACTGAATAACGTTGTATCCGGTGTCTGGTAAACTTGGATATATGCTAATAATTGTAGCAGATTATAGAAAACGTGTCTACTACGGTGACAGTCTGTAGCGTAACAACTGTATATACGAATATATGATTATTTCTAAAGTTGTCTTAACACGAACAATTATAGCACAGATGCTCAGTGAAGTACCAATGTTAGTGAAAGTTTTATTATTAATTCTTTAGTAATTTTGAAGTGATACAAATTACTATATTCTTATCGTTTTGGGGAATTGTCCTACAATGAACGCTTACATACTTTTGTACGTACAAAACTGTCCCACACCACCGTTAAAAATAGGAGTAAGTTTCTATAATCAGACTTTCGGGTTTGATTTATCAAGTTTTGTGATAATTTACTTCAAGCTCGTCGGGTTTTGTGTCAAAAAATTTAAATATTTCCAAAAATATCCTTATCTACAAAAAATGTACTTATCGCTTTTTTTTTAGATTTTAGTCTTTTTGTGCCAGATATTTCCACGAAAAATATGAAAAACAATAATAACAATAGGTAACTCTGAGATTCCGTACAAAATAGAAAAGCAGTGTTTAATCGATGTATTTTTTTTTCATTTTTCATCTTTGGAACACTTCTTACTGTAAAACACATTGTAAGAAATAAGTTACAATATATGTAATAAAAAAACGGAAAAGAAACAAGGGAATTCTAAGTTAAGAAACTAAATCATGATTTATCTAACAAAGGACAGGATCAGAGTTACGAATATATTACACCTATGATAAATCATGATTTATCTAACAAAGGACAGGATCAGAGTTACGAGTATATTACACCAATGATAAATCAGTATTCAGCTAACAAAGGACAGGATCAGAGTTACGAGCATATTACACTTATGATAAATCAGGATTCAGCTAATAAAGGACAGGATCAGAGTTGCGAATATATTACATCAATAATAAATCAGGATTCAGCTAACAAAGGACAGGATCAGAGTTACGAGTATATTGCACCTATGATAAACTAGAAAAAACAAACTGAATTCTAAATTAAAGCCTGTTTAATAACCAGAATACTCTACATAAAACACTTCTTTATTCCAGTGAAATAATAATATTCGACTTTTAAATAAATAACTTTTGAAAGTTCAGTTAACGTACAGATGTTTTTATATCAGAATTTGTTAAGATTGGAGCTGTATTAGCAGAAATAAACTTTCTTAGAACCAGTGTTCTCTTCAAAAAAGTATGTGATATCTGTTCATCCTTTTCAGTTCACGATTTTAGGAATTGTTAACAACAGAATACTAACGTTTGTTGAAATGAAAACATACGCGGTAGTTTGTTTTGAGTTATTTAATGTTTTCCTGTACAACTCAAAATGAGGGTGTTTCAAATGTTTTTTATTTAGTGCTTTTTCTATCTTGGATATTTCTAGCGTCTCTTCTAATGTTCTATATGAAATCTGAAATATATTTTTCAAACGGACACGAATAATGTATTTAGAAAAATTGATTGATTAATAACCACAAATAAACTGAAAATTGTTTAGTTAAAACGATAAGTATTTAAAAAAATGGTAATAAGAAAATATGAGATAAATATTATCCAATTTAATAGGTATATGACGAGCATAAAGTTTGATATTTGTTTATATACTTTCAATCAACCAGTCAATACATAAAATATGAAATTTAAACAAAATGAGTTAGCGGATGATTCTTGAACCGACCTCTTGAACTGGTGTCAAGTAATTAGTCTATTTATTTAGCTATGGATTATTCGGAACGAGGTCTACTACAGAACAAAAATAAAGGAGATTAATGTAGTCCTTTCCTATCATCACATGCAGTCCACCTCTTCAGCATCACAGTAAAATCACTCTTTCTCTATCCAAAATATAAACAGTGTGTGGCCTGAGTCTCAAGATAAATTGAATCTGTTTTTAATTGTGAGTGTGGAATATTTAAAAGGTCCCTTACCTTTCTGTTTCGGTCATAATTAGACTGGGAAATAAATTCACACCGATGTTTCGCCGATAAAATTACAGAAAGTCGAATTAAACATTTCAATTGTGATACTTTAATTTCTTTTGTTATTTTTCAAGTCTTGGTAAATATGCACTTTGCTTAAATACATCCTAAAATATTTAGCATGTTACATCTTTAACGATAAAAAGGTAGTGAAAACATAAAAATACAACACCAAGAGAACGAATAAGAAACTGTACCTTTGTTTTTCCTATATTTATTTCAGGAACAATTTTCGCTGCAGTTTATGAGATCTAAATGAGAACATAAATTGTGATGTACTTATTTTCTAAGTTCTCATTGTATACCACAGAACAGACACAAATTCAACTAATCTCGATGAAACTAGCGCTTTCGACAGGTGGACCTATCTTCTTCGCGAGTAAAGGTTGGTTTATCTCTGTGAGACACCGTACGACCAACAATTTTTATGTCAAAGTTCCAATAAAGTGAGGATTTTAGTTTAATTTTAAAAGTTTGTTTGTTTCAAAATTCTACCGCAAAACGACACCAAAAGTTATCTGCGCAAAGCCACTCCTAATTTTTGATTGATAGACTAGAAGGAAGGCAGCTAATAAACAGCACCTATTACCAGTTCTTGGGTTACTCTTTTATGACCGAACAGTGGGATTTGAAAGTCACTTACTTTTATAGCGTACCCATATTTGGAAGCCATTTTTTCTTATAGCGTACCCATATTTGGAAGCCATTTTTTCTTATAGCGTACCCGTATTTGGAAGCCATTTCTTCTTATAGCGTACCCATATTTGGAAGCCATTTCTTCTTATAGAGTACCCATATTTGGGGGTACGTTATAAGAAGAAATGGCTTCCAAATATGGGTACGCTATAAGGAGAAATGGCTTCCAAATATGGGTACGCTATAAGAAGAAATGGCTTATGGCGCCAAAGTGCGGAGCTTTTGGTGGCAACAGATTCTCAGTCCAAACACATTAATAAATAGATCTCTCCCGTGCTTTAGTGAACGTTATGTGCTCTGCGCATATTCGTTTACATGCATAATTAAAGAATTGTATTCAAAATTATGTGATATTTAACTTCTAATTTTATCAGGCTTTTGTATTGCTATCTATCCAGGGGCAACAAAACAAAGAAAGACATCACAGCACTATTAAAAGAAAATGTGCATTCGCTTATACAGTGCACGACCCCAGATTACAGCAAAACACACAAGTTAATCTAAAATATATCTTAATTAATGTCCCACTCTTTTTATGTGTAATTTAGTTCATTCTTTTTTTAACTAGAGAACCACTTTTTACATGAGAGGTTTACTACTTCTTTATTTCTGCCATTTCCTTTAAAATACGTTTTCTCTCTATCTCAGTAGGTTCTGTGCTGTAAATGTTGCTTCAAAGTCGTCATCGATCATACAAAAGTAGTACTCCTCTTGTTAGGGCGCTCGACTCGCAATCTGCGGGTTCGAATCCCCGTTCCACCAAACATGCTCGCCCTTTCAGCCGTGGGAGCATTATAATGTGACGGTCAATCCCATTATTCGTT